TTGACAAGTGACTCCACTCTCACCGCTGTGTCTAAGGAAAATGCAGGTCGCATACGCGTCCTTGCTTGCGTCCGAAAATACATGCAGAGTGGTACTTTCGTCTATTTTGGGAAGCAATCTAGGAATTTTGATGTCTTTCAAATATTTTAACTGAGATGACCATGTGAAAAATTTCCTTGCTAGATCATTCGGCAGATTAGTATCCCAGTTAATTTTCTGTTTCCAGCACTCTTGCAGAATCAGTTTAGGCATGAGAGTAACTGGACTAGTAAACCCAATTGGGTCAAAGATTTTACTCAATTCGGAAAGAACAGATCTTTTGCTCAATACAGGGTTTTCTTCATATTTTACGTGACAAGACAAAGTATCGTCAAACAAGTCCCATTTCAATCCCAATACTGACACAACATCTTCATAATCTTTATCAGAAAGGTTTAGAATTGAAGTTTCATTTTTAAGTCTATTATGTTTCCAACCTCTTAGGTCAAATTTTGCAGTAGCCATTATTTCTCTAGATCCTTTGATAAATGAGTTTAATTCTTCAATTGATTCCACGCTCGCTACGCAGTTATCCACATACATGGCTTTCTTTAGCTTTGAAGCTATTTCCTGATGATTGTTTTGGTACATTTTCCAAATGGTAGTTAATCGTGGCAGCGAGTAAAAAGGGGCTGGCGTTTACGCCGAATACAACCCTTCGGTGCCGATATATAGTCAGTTTTTCAGGCTGTCCTTTCTCCCACCATAGGAACCGGAGAAAATCTCGATCCGCTGGGTTCACACCTATCTGAAGAAATGCTCTTTTTATATCCGAAATTACTCCATACTTTCCCCTCTCGAAATTTTATCAAAATTTTGGGGATCAATTCAAGATAATTAGGACCCTTTTCCAGGCAGTCGTTCAGAGATACCGAATTTTTCTCCTTTGCAGATGCGTCGAACACTGGTCGAATTTTGGTAGTCGAATTTTCCCGAAACACTGCTCTATGTGGCAGATAATGCCCTTTGATCTTTTCTGCCTCCGAAATATCGATAGGTTCAATTATTCCCTCTTCTACCCAATCCTTTAAAACAGTTTCGTAGGCTTCTAAGGAATTCTTTGTCTGAAGGGTTTTCACGCAAGACTTCAGACGCTTTTCTGCAAGGATTCTATTATCTGGCAACTCAGGATGAATTTGAAGCCATGGCAGTGATACCTGATACCTTCCAGCGTCATCTCTTTCTAAAGTACGGATAAAATAATTTTCTGTAGCCTTTTCTATTTCTTGTTTTGTTTGCGAAAGAGCTGGTTCAGTTATTCCGATAGAATCAAGAGACCACAAGTCACAAATTTTTCTGTCACTAATGTGTAGTGATAAAAGAACTTTCATTAAAATTCTTTTTCCCTTTACCCTTCGTTCTCCCTAATATAGTCCAACCAAGGTGTGTATTCATCGCTACTAAACTCTCCGTTACGTGTTTTATTTCCCCTGTAAAGAGTTTTCCGGCATAATCTGCTCCTACAAGCATGTGTATTTCGTTAGGGTGTTTTTTCAAATAAACAAGAATTCTCATTAGTTACATCACTGGGAAAAATTTTGTAACCTCTTAGTTTCTTTAAGCATTCCCTATCCTCCAATTTTGGAATATGTGAGCATATGGTTTTTTGGCTCAAAACTTCCATTTCGCATGTGAATCCTGTTTCTGGATTATTTAACTTAATCAGATACTTGTTGTGATTTTCCCTTTTTTTCTATCCTCCAAAAAGCCCATGAGTCACACTTTCCTGACCTAAAGATTTTAGTTTTAATTTCTCCGCAAGAAATGTGCTGATATATGATCTGCTACTTCCGGTATCCAGAATTATTCGTATAAAATTGCTTTCACCATCTCCGTAAACATTGGCAATTAAAGTTTGCAAGATTACACTTTCATAGGATGAATTATTCGTTAAGGCCTTATTTTCAATTTGTTCTTCCTTAATTTCTCCGTTTTCGTTTTTAAAACACATTATAGTGGCATGTCGTTGTTTACATAATTCACACCTTATTCTAGAAGTGCAAATTAAAACTAAGATGCCGTGGGTGTAAACAGCGATAACATATTCCCTTTCGCTTTGCATTTCTCCCTTTTTTTCTCAGTAGACCATAAAGATGCTTGTTTACACGTTATAGACTCGTGATCAGAAGAGTCGCAGAAAACACATGGTGTTTGTCCCCCCCGCAAACTTGCGTTCGTTAACTCCGAAGCTGTGTGTTTCGCAATAGGTCTGGTTTCACTCAGTTTGTTATGCTTTTGCGGCGCCGCCTTTGGCTGGACCGTCTGGAATGTACGTTCCCGCGCAACTAACTGTTCAGAAAGAAATTCCACTAGGTGATTCAAATCGTAATTTGATTTTCCGAACTGTTTTATTATACTCCAAAACCAAATCTGGGGGCAATGTTTTAAGCAAAATAGGTGTTAATAAAGCTCCATATGTTTCTGAGGTCATATTTAATGATTCAAGACATCGAATATGTTTCTGTATATAATTGAATAACTTACGGAAATTTTGAATGTCATTAGAATCTTTTTAGAGGTCTTATTTTCAGTAATTTATCTATATGGGCGTTGATCAGTACATCTTTATTTCCAAATCTTTCTGTGAGGAGTTTAACTGAAGTTTCGTAATTTTCTTCGGTTAAATCGAAACCGTCAATGGTGTTATAAGCAGTACCTCCCAAAAAGGATTTCAAATAATTAAATTTGCTTATAGCGTCAAGCGTTTTATTTTGGTGTATGGCTGATGAAAAAGTGTTCCAAAATGTCAGCCATTCGCAGCTCTCGCCATAAAACTTCGGAATCGTAAGTTTAGGAAGCTTCACATTATGACTTTCGATTTTAACGTTTTCTATAATACTTTCACTTAACTGTTCAGTGCTTCGTAACACATTAAATTTTTGTTGTTCTATATTAATTTCTTTCAATTTTTTGTTAGCTTTGTATTTAAATGTAGTTATTCTTTCACGATATTCGTCAACACCGTTTAATTCCTGGTCTAGATCCTTTATGTCTATTAATTTTTCTATATCGGCATCTATTTGTTTTTAACTCGTTCGATTTTTCATTTAAGAGTTCTAAGGAAATTTCTAGTTCCTCTGCATTCACTTCTGTTTTTGGTAATTCAGTTTCGATTCGGCCAATTAATTTTGTAACGGCAGCCCTTATGTGGCCGCGTTTCCTTTTCAATGTATCGATGAATTCCGTCATTATTTAATATTCAACAATTCAACAAGTATCAGCAATTCACTAATTATTTATGCTTATGTATTATCTATATAACTGATATCAATTTAGACAGTTTCAATAGTTAGGAAAACCGCAGTTACTGGCAGTCCCTGTTCGGGCGCCATGTTAAAAAAATTTTATCAACTTTGTACTATTAAAATTTTTTGATCATTAAATAGATAAGTGAAAGTTCACTTACCTTCTAAATAGGGCTGCCCTGAACTGCCTGCTTTTCCTTCTTGTAGGTATCCGTCTCTATGATGAACTTCGATTCACTGCGAAACACACAGCTATAAACTTTTTAAGAAATTTTAATTCGTATGAAAGATATCTACAAAATATTTACAAGTTATAATGATTACAAGCATAATTTATACGGAGACGGTCTATCTTTATACATCTGTTAGACGCGTCAGCCGTTCAACTGACTACTTTTAGTCTCTTTCGCCAGAGGGCGTCCGTGGAAGTCCGTGGAAGTAAAGTTCTAGTAAGCAAACGCGACAAATAGAGAAAATAAACCATACAGCAATCATTGAACACACGGCATATCTGTGCATAAAGTTAATCGGCATGGAAAAATTTAGTACGGAAGTTTAATGATCGAACAAAGGAGGCCTATATCACGCACGAACTTTTTTCACACGAACAACTGTTTCGGACAATTTTTCTGCCTGGTTTAATATTGAAAGAAAGACGCGCAATGTTTCCTTCCTTTCGAAAACAATTGCAAGTTTTCGTTTTCAACCAATCAGCTATCATCTTCGAATACTGTCAGCTTGGAATGGAGAACCAGTTTCCCCTGTGTTAACCCCAAAGCGATCTGTGGCGATTGGTTGTTGTGACAAAGCACAAAAATTGTTCCAAACAGTTGGACTTCCGAAACAAACGGATGTGTGATAGCAGCCTAATGGGATTACTGTCCTCTAGCAGCCGCTCAGACAGGATAGTGGTTATTGTCATAAACTGGTGAGTTGGCTTTCAACGCAGGTTTGTTTCGTGCAGAATTGGTTATCAGCTCAGCCACTATCTGCCAGACCACAGTCCCAAGGCCAGTTCGACAGATCAGGCGGCATTTATTAAATCAAGCAAACACATATTAAACCATATACACAGATAAGTATATACACCTGAATAAGACGTAAATGACACTACTACGAATGCGAATACTAAATATAAGTACAGGATTTTAAAAAATTATTTTACCTTTCTAATAAAAATCAGCGCTCCGGATGATATAAATGTATAAAACAGCTCCAGTTCCGCTTCTGTAATGATCTTTTTTGATAAAATCTGAATGATTAATTCCTTAGCATTAATATTTATTAGTCATTCTATTGTCTTATTTTTACTGTTAATTGTTCGTCTTCACATCTACAACAAATATATATATTTGCAATAAATATTTTTTATTGAGTCTGAATTTGTGAAAGTGGGAGGAAAATTTAAACACAGGCTGTCAATAAGACCCATAGGGATGAGACAGTAATGCACAAAGTTTCAGATTAAAGATACAAAATATTTCTATACAATAAAAGTAAAACCATTTTAAGTGATAAGTGGTGTATCACTTATTACTTTAACTCAGTACAGGTATTACATGAGTATCAATTTTATATATACAGCGAACTTTCGATTTTTTAAACGTATACGGACCATAATAATTTGTATATGTGAATGCCATTAAAGAATTATGCAAATTTTACTAACCTTTATTTGTAAGAGATCCCAAATCTCACTGTATTTTCTTTTAACAGGGCTGAAAAGATGTTGCAAGCGAATTGGCCTCAAAACATTTGGAGAAATGACTTAACTTGAATGTGTAACAGAATGTGCTTTCTTCATGCATTGTTTTAAATATGAGCAGTCTTACAAACACTTTTGTTTAAAGTTATTTTACTCTGTGTTTTAAAAATATAAAGCAAAAAAAATAAATAGGTAAAAAATCTGAAATATTTCAGATTTTATATTACGTCCAAAGGGGCGTTTTTTTAACTTTTTGTGTGTTACATTTATTAATTAAACATCATGATCTTTAAACTTAAACCATAAAATTCAATTCAACTGCAGAATCACAAAATAATTTAAAAAGAGCATTTCTGTAGAATTTCGAATACACAATCTCGCACGCTGGAGACTTTTTTTTTTTTTTTCCTCGTACAGTGTTGCCAGTGCTCACTTATAAATCCTTGAGTTTGTTAATCAAAAATTCACCAAAGTTTTATGAAATAGATAATAAAATAAATTCGAAATTTGGGCTTCCAGATGCTCATATTCGAGTGGAGGACTACGTTATTCAAAATTTGATGTTTCTAGGTACAGTTGTTTTTTCACAATGCAAGAAACGTGCGTAAATTCATACAGATTTTTCCATTATAATTTGTTAATTTAAGTAGGGCTTTATATTGGGGCAAATTGAATATTGGGGGGGCCGTTTTATAGTGGCCCGCAAGGCAAGCGAAATTAATAGCCCTTCTGGGAAAACTTCCCCTTTGGGCTAATAAATAATATTTTGCGATAAATAATTTGATTCTGATTGATGATAGATAACTTTGAAATGCTGCAAATGAATTGTAGCAATGTAATTGGCATTTTTTAAAACACAAACTCCTTTAAAAAGTAAGAAAAATGTATCTGCAGTTTATATTTAAAGTACTGTAGACTTAAAACTAGTACAAATGGATTTTAAAAGATATCGTTATTTTAATATCTCACTTTGTATTTAGTGTGTGTTTTGATCAATCAAACAAAAGTATTGATATTATTTTAAGTAAGGTAAGAATTTGATTTTTAAATATAGTGTGTAACTACAATAAGCGCTGTTTAATGCGATCACGTTTGTCCACGATTATTTTGATAATATTAAACAATGAGAAAATTATTTTTTGAAATATCAGAGGAATTTAACAAATGTAATTAGAAACATATAAATACTTACTTTCGCCGAATTTTAATTAGGTAAAAAATCATTAACAGTTAACTCTCTGGAATTCTTAGGAAAAAATTCATTTTTTGAACTTTTCTTAATGATTTTCGAAATTATTTAACTAATACTGTACCTCTCTTATCTACCTCAAACTTTAGTACTCTTAGAACATCCCTCATCTCATCATTTGCAAGGAAATTTAACGATTTTTCTGCTTCGGAAAATTTTATTGCATGATGTGCTTGGATTTGTTTCAGAACGTTACAGGCAGATATCTTCTTCCACTGAATCTACAGATTGAGGTTTTTCATGAATATCCATTCAGGCGTTGAATTCTTCACAATTCGGGTTAGTTGGAGATGTTTTAAATTCTACAACTACTTTTATTTTATCGTTTATTAAAAAACTGACATACTTAAAACAGGACTAGAAGAGAAACACGCTAATGTGACAATCAAAATCGTAAAAAACAACCTTATATTTAGCGTAGGTATAATGAAACACTCAATCGATTTCGAGGGCAGCTAAAGGTCCCTCCTCCAGGAGAAAGAAATACATAGAAAGAAGAAATAGGAATCACAGAAAACGTGGTGCTTATCAGCACTGGCACGTGGTTTATAACTAGATTTTTAATCAGAGTTGCACTGGCCGCCTACTTTTTACTGAGCCAGGCTGTCTGATCAAGCTAAAGAAATATTAGCGAAGTTAAAATAGGGAGCGAGGGCAATGCACATTACGCTCAAAATCTGAACTTCAAATAATGGAAAGCACCACTGAACGATTTTTATACCCTCTGGGAGTACCAAGTGCGAGGAGGTAACGCCATCTATCGGCAAAAATAATTGAATTAAGATAGTAGAATTTTAAAAGGCATTAGGAAGGACTGGATTGGACTTCAAATCATTAACTAAACTTTCTAAATCTTTGTGAATGTGAAAGCCTCAAGAAAATCCAATTCGCCTATGGAAGAAGCCTTTTGGATGATTTTGCAGACCCAAATCAAAATTATGGTTAAAAGTCCAGCTATGATACGCTATTGAAGACTTGTTAATTTCCCCTTTTTTGACATAAGATTCATGTTTCCTTGATACGAAACTTCAACGCTCTTTTGGTTTGGCCATATATTGTTGCGTGCGTACGGGTTCGTTATGAAATGAATGCACAAGTCCGATGAAAAATGAACAAATTTATTATTATCACACAAAAGGCTTAAATTTTCTCAAATAATCATGCAGTATTACAATATCTCACAGTAGTTTCTTTAACTACTCAATGTCAATGAACGTAATTCAAAACAGCTAAGAACGCTAATCCGCGAATTCGCTACAATCAACAAAGTAGTTTTCTAAACAACAACAACTAAGCAACTACTACAAACTGAGATGTTTTTCCTCCTTTTATAAGATTTTAAAATCACGCGCTAGAATTTTCCAGTACTTTCTCGAAATCAAAAAGAGATATTTATTTATTAATGCACGCGCTCTTGTATTTTCAATTTTCCGGCTTAGCTTTCTTTAATATTCGTCACGCGCTGCACTGCGCGAGAATAAAACCATTTAATTTCTAATTGAACTAACAGCTTTTTAAATACAAATTCGTAACACTGCCCCCTTCCCAAGGACTGCACGTCCCGGGCAGTACAATCCCTGGACAGGAAGCTAACTTACAACTGTGGCATAAATGCATTAATAATTACATTACAATAATAAACAACATGAACAATAAATGCAATACATAAACAAATCAATGCATCAAATACAAATCAAATACCATTTAAAAACAAAAATGACCATGGTCTTATACTATTTACAATTATTTACATTATGTACTATGGCCATAGTAATGAGCTAACCTGTCGTAATGAACGACTTTAGGTTTAGAGTTCGAAGACTTACGAATCCGAACCACGACGTCATTCAGCCTGTTTAGGACTGTGTACGGCCCATCCCAAGGTGACTGTAATTTCGGACAAAGTCCTTTCCGTCGAGTCGGATTCCCCAACCACACCTTGTCCTCCTTCGTGGAATTGATGTTCAGTAGCTCTTGTGTCGTAGCGGGTCTTCATCTTCTCCGTCGCCAAGTTGACTCGCTCTCGTGCAAAATTGTGCATCACTTCCAAACCGGGCCTGGAGATCTTGAATATATTCCTCAGACGAGAAGGAGCATCCGGAGGGCGGCCAAACAATAGATCACAAGGCAGACGAAGGTCAAGACCGAAGAGCATCTGTGATGGAGAATAGCCGGTAGTCTCGTGTGGACAGCACTGCGGGTAAGCCAGTAAAAAGAGTGGTAATTTCTTGTCCCAGTCCGTTGGTTTCTGGAAACCACTAATGAGAGTTATTAAGGATGGTTCGATTGAACCTCTCTACCATGCCGTCCGACTGGATGCAATGGCGTCGTTTGAGTTTTGTCAATGCCATAGTTTGCATAGTTCTTTGAGTTTATTTCCTGAGGCAAAATTCCTTCCCTGATCGGAATGTAACTGAAGAGGCACTCCGAACCTGGAAATCCAGTGCTGATCATACCGCAGTTACTGTGACTGCCTCTTGATCAGGAATAGGATAAGCTTCAGGCCACTTGGTGAAGTAATCAATGACAACGAGTATGTATTTGTGCCATCAGCAGTTCGTGGCAGAGGTCCCAGGATGTCAAAGGCGATACGTTCAAAAGGAGCCCCTACGTTGTTGCAGTCGCCTCGGCTGCGTTTCCTCGGTCCTTTCCGACCTGCACAGGCATCGCAAGATCGGCACCACTTTTGCACGTCATTCTTTGCATTATTCCAGTAAAAGCGCTCACGAACTCTCTGGTAAGGTCTTCATAATTCCAAAGTGACCTCCTGTAGGCTGTTATGTAGTTCTTTGAGGACATCAGGAATCCGGATCTCGGAAGTATCAGTTGCCATCGGAACGTCTTCCCATCATCCGACTCGAATTCCGGTATAAGACGCCGTTTCGAATGTGAAGTGAATCCCAGAGTGCCCAGTATTGTTTTGTTGTAGGACTACAGATAGAAATGTCCTGCCATGTAGGTTTTCTGTTGATGACTCTATAAATCAAGTATGGGTTTAATGTCGCGGTCTTCCAGCTGGTCTTTCCTGACTTCATCATCACTCCACGGCTCTCGAGCAGCCGATGTTGATGTTTAAGTGTCTTGCGACCGGAGTCAGCAGTTCGTATTTCGCTTCCCACACCCTGGAACAATATCGGCAGTTTTCTTGGCAAGGTCTTCTAGACAGGGCGTCGGCGTTCCGTGTGATGATCCCTTAGATGACGGATAGTGGATGTCATATCTTGGAGTCTCTGTATCCACCTGGCTATTTGACCCTCAGGATTTTTGAAATTTAAAAGCCACGCCAATGATGGCATGGTCCGTGCGGAGGAGGAATTTTCTCCAGTATAGATAATGATGGAAATTTCTACAGCTTGACTATGGCGAGCAACTCTTTCCTTGTGACACAGTAATTCCTCTCCGTTAGACAGGCACTTGCTCCAGTAAGCTACTACCGTTCTTGGGCGTCTATTTCCTTGGGACAAAACAGCACCGACACTTTCATTGCTCGCGTCGGTGTCGAGAATAAATGGTCTGTCGAGCTGATGGATACGTCAGGATTGGAGCAGATGTTAAAGCTTCCTTTAAGTTGTTAAATGCATCCTCGCATTCCTTTGTCCACAAGAATCTTTTTGCTTGCTCTCTGTCAGCTTGTGAAGTGGTCTTGCGATGGAAGAAAAGTTCTTCGCGAATCTCCTATAGTAGGTGCAAAGCCCTAGGAAGCTTCTCAGCTGAGGACATTTTCGGGACGCGTCCAGGATTTAACCGCTGATACCTTTTCAGGATCCGTGCCACACCTTCTGCAGAGATGACATGTCCCAGGTAAGTCACTTCCTTTCGAAACAATTTGCATTTAGCGGGAGTCAGCTTCAGATTGGCCTCTTTCAGTTTCTGAAGCACCTTTCTAAGATTTTCTAGACGCTCTGCAAAACTCTTTCCGACGATGATGATATCGTCCAGGTATATCAGTACAGGCTTCGTAGAAAGGCCTTTCAAAACAGTCTCCATAAGACGTTCGAAT